AGTATAACTTATGTTTAAGTTCATTATCGTTATTATGAACCTATAAACAATACATGAGCTAAGTATTATAAATTATACAAAGTGTTATTATAATACCTTTTAACTACTCGTGGTACGGGGAATTTGGTTTGAAGGGCCGCATAGGGTTGTTGGATTTCAGAACAGCTTAAATGCCAAAATGGTCTTGCCCTTTGGTGTTTTATGTCTGACCCCCTGTCTGTACATAGTAGTTGAAAAGTATAGTTTAACACTTATATAATAGAAGAAAAACAATATTGCTCGTAGAACTTGAGTTAATCTAGACTAATAATTTGTCGCAATAAGTATTAGACTAAAATCTAGTGATAATGATACTAGGTTTCGTCAAAGGAAAATAAAATTGTTAAATGTGAAGTGCTGCCCAAGTTTGAAGTCATCACTTTAACAAGTGAGTACATAGTTACTTTCATCTTACACATAGATATGAAGTATTTAATATAAATTACATGTTATGTGTGCATATTATATGTGTTCTTAATATCTATGTTGGATGAACAAAATATACATGTTTTATTCGATTTAAAGTGTATATGTATTTTATACCTACAATTATGATGGGTAAAGATGGCTAGATGATATAGATGATGAAATAAATGATGAGAGGCCTCGATGTTTAAGATGATTTAGTTATCTAACGGAGTATAGATGACGACCACGGACTATTCTAGACAGTCTAGTGGAACACTACATGCTCGCAACCTGTAGGTGTTTGTGAACGATGTGTTCACCGGTGTACTCTATCCCCCTCATGGTTGCCTTACTGACATATATTGCTGAGGAATACCCTAAGCAGTATTGTCTTCCCGATGATGATTCTTAGGATAGGTCCCTTAAATAAGATACTTTAGGGACAGATAGTGAGGATAACGGGAACAAGTAATCGGTTTGAATGATTTGATGAAATTAATAAACTTAATTATTGTGGGTTGAAAACCCTTTGTCCTCACCAGGCTCCCAAGTCTGACCCACTTGTTTCTTGTATTACAGGTAGTGGCAAAAGTGCACAGGAGTGTTGAACTGATGAGAGATCTATGGATTATAGGCCATTAGAATAATAGAAGTTGTAAGGTCTGTACTATTTATGTTTATGCTTATGTACTGTATTGACAATGACATCCCAACGTTTTTAATATAATGAAAACACATTCCTTCGGGAATGCTTTGATAATTTACTTATCATATTTTGGGAACAAATTCCGCAACATATTTCTTCAAAAAGATACTCTGATTTTCAAATAAAACATAAACAAATCGGTCTTTTCTGGCCGAGAAAATGGGGATGTCACAATCAACGTTTCCATCATCTCTTGGACCGAGTCACAATTCTGCACAAGATGATACACATGATAGGGGCGAGAGTTTCCTATCGATGCTCTGGCTTTTACATCAAGATTAATCAACATCTTATCATCATCGCCATAGTTGGTCTCTGGTTTTTACTTCAGTGGACCAACTGGAGCATTGTTGGCCATGGGTTGGTACATAGGAACGTGAGGACCTTTTTCAACGGTTTTATGCATCGCATAGTCCATGGTTTCAAGAAAAAACATGGCCTTAGTTTTCCACATGGCGAAGTTGTGTTCATCGAAAGGAGGAATTTTGTTGAGACCAAAGGATTTGGGATTATTGGAAGTCGACATGATTACTTGAGTGTATCAAAAACCTGCTTTGATACCAATTGAAGGTTTATATCGATCGGATACACTTCAAGTATAAAGAACAAAAGCAAACTAATCTAAGCAAACAAAGAACAGGAAATAAATAACACAAGGAGTTCTCCAAATTGTCTTTTACCAAGAAAGGGTTTGTCTTCACCAAGAAGGCGGTTTGTCACAAAGACGGTCACCAAGACGAAGTTAACACTAGGGTTTACCCTAATGTTGATTATATACTATTATATACAAGTATATCCCTTGATTGAAGGAATTGTATCTAATCTATACTAAGAACCAATCATCATCACAAAGATATTGGATCTGCAATCTATTCTATACATATCTATATCATTACCTAATATACAAAAGATTACATAGAATAACTATACTACTCGCTGACGCTGATAGACTTGATATGCTGACGCTGACGGTGATGTAGACGTTGACGCTGACGGATATCATGTAGAGTGTTTGACTCATCAGATCATAAGGTATGACGTTACAATTAGTTTTCACTTACTCACCGCTAAGAAAGATGATGTTCAACTGAATGCGGTAAGTATGAAAAAACATCTAGTAATGCAGAGGTATCAGAAATCTCGTATATGACCTATCCATTAGTAATTGTTTCTTGTTTTTTTTTCTTTTATATGTACGTGTGTGTGTGTGTGTGAAATGTGATCGTCATTATTATTCATTCATATCCTGGCGAAATGTACTCTTTTCTTCGGTCTTAGCCTTGTAGCACATGTTTGCAACATGTACTTCCTCATAGAGGGGCACAAAAACCGGTTTTTTCTTCAAACCGAACCGGTTCTTTAAACCGATTCGGTTCCGATTTGAGAATAGTAACATCGGTTCAACCCTAAACGGTTCGGTTCAAACCAGTTCATTCATAAAAATAATCGAACCTATCTAAACCGGTCCATCGGTTCTACACCGGTTCCAAAGCGGTTCACACGGTACTAAACTAGTTCTAAACCGGTTTCAATGACTAAAATCTCGAACCGGTGCAAACCGGCGATTCGGTTCCTGAATCGGATAGGTTCATAGTGGACTGGTTTACCGGTTCTTTGGCCGGTTCGGAACGTGAACCGGTTTTTTTGTGAAAGTCTACTTCCTCGTCTTGATATAATAAACCATTTTTAACCTATCCATGACACTTAGGAACCCGTCCTTTGTTTTCAGTTTTGTATTTTTTACAGAGCCCACCAACATCTTATACTTTGGCTCATAATCCACTTCCTTATTGGGCTTATCAGCTTGACTCTACAATCACTTGATGAATGTCTAACATCTAGATTAGTTAACATTTTTCGCTCTCCTGTTCACTAATTGAGTAGTTTCCTAATCATCCTAATCTTGATTTTTTCCAATCAGGCTTATCATCATTGGCCTCGCAAACTAAACAATAGGGACATGAGGAACCTTCTAAATTGTTTGAAGCATGTTGTAATCAAAAGTCTTCAATCTTAGAAGTGTTTTTCTATAAATTCTTATCATCAAACGGTGGACATTTACTATTACTGAAATCGCATTCTAGTCTATTGTTTGATTGGCCATTTAAGTAGAAAAGCGAATACCATATTGTTGAATCAGAAACCGATCTAAAAAACTAAAGTTTTAAATCACTATGATACAATCCTATAAACATCCAAGTAAAATTCAAACAATTCAAACATGAAATGAAATAAGAATGACAATAACATTATATGGATGGATTCATTTTCTTTGCATATGGGATAAACCAACAAGTAGGGGTGTGCAAAAAACCGCGCAAACCGCCCGCACCGCACCAAACCGCACCGCATAATGCGGTTTAGAATTTCGTGGTGCGGTTTACGGTTCATCATTTTATCAAACCGCACTATGCGGTGTGGTTTGCGGTTTGTATTTATAAAACCGCGGTTCAAACCGCACCGCACCGCATGTTATATATATACTTTTTTTCTTTACTTTGTTATAATTTCAAATCACGATTTAGAAACGATGTATTTAAATATATTTCTTACAATAACCAAATATCTATAACGTAACATTAAATCACTATTAGATGAAGATCCCACGGTTTACAAGAATATAGCAACTATAACGACAATATAAAGCAATAACAATGACACTTACAAAACTATAGTAGCATGAATCACAATTTATTAAAAACAATTTAACTTGAAAATTGTATTTGTTTTTATAAAATGAAAGCAATCAATTTTTATAACCGGGTCAGTTTTTTGGTTTTTTGATAGATTTAATGTTGAACAACTCATTAAACCGCACAAACCGCAACCAAACCGCATAAACCGTCTGCATCAAACCGCACCGCATAACACGGTTTCGAACATCTGTGGTGCGGTTTGCGGTTTCTAAAATATTCAAACCGCATATGCGGTGCGGTTTGCGGTTTTGACTCTAAACCGCACCAAACCGCACTGCGCACACCCCTACCAACAAGTCCATGTCACACTTTATTTTATCCTTTACGATATATTATATACTAATTAGAAAGTTTTTATGAACAATAGTAAAGTTTTCTATTTTGGAGTTTTATGGTTTTATATTTTGGTTGATTTAGTTCTTACAACAAAGGTTTTATATTTTGAGATATTTAGTTCATGTAATTTTTTAATTTATAACAAAAAAAAAAAAAGTTTCTGTAAAGTTTTTTTTTACAAAAACAGTCTATATGTCTAAGATTTTTTATATTTTGACAGGTTTGACCCTTGTGTCGAAAATTAATTACAAAAGTTGTTCCCATAATTTATAGAAAATATCATTGCGTATTTTTTTTTTATAGAAACGATTCATGTGTTTAAAAAATTATAAAAATTATCCTTGTAGCTTATAAAAAATATCATATTATGTATTTTTTTTTATAGAAACAACCCATATGTTCAAAAAAATTACAAAAATAGTCCCTACCAAGTACCAACTAGAAAATTTGTAGTTTTGATCCTTACACTTTCCTACATCGGCAAATTTTGTCCCCCCAAAGAACGCACACAAAAAGATATAACAATTAATAATAATATTTTTCTTTTGTGCGACTAGAACATAATAACCAAAACCTCGCGTACCTCCCCCGCGAAGCGGGTAGAGTAAAATTTCTAGTTTACAAAAATTGCAATTATCATCTTTTTACTACGTCCATCAATCAATGTCAAAAAATAAAAAAATAAAATACATAACAAATTAGTAAAGTCCATCAATCAATGTCAAAAAATAAAAAAATAAAATACATAACAAATTAGTAAAGTCCATCAATCAATGTCAAAAAATAAAAAAATAAAATACATAACAAATTGTCACATCCTGCATAACAAACAAACGGAACCCAAATTTTTATGTTCCCCTCTAACGATTTCACTAAACAAAGTCCATGTCTACATAATACAGTTAAAAGCACGAAAATTTGTTTACTAGATATTAGTAAATCTATTAGACAAACAGCATTCCCAATCAATAATCATCATGTTTTAGTTAACCAAAAGCTTTGGTGACATTAGAAACATTAGTTGATAATGAAACAACAAATCCAAAAGATGTTGACTAGTCAACTCAACAGAGTTGGGTTAGGTGAAGGTGAAATAACTCGGTTACGAGGAAATGGTGACCCCAAAGGCGCTACTAAACCAAGACTCTGCATCACCTTCATTCGACGTCCGCTCAAATTTCCCTAAACAAACAACACAACATTTAGAGCTGATGTGGCATTGACATGGCGTCCACATGGCGCTGACATGGAGTTTCTAGTGTGACAGAGAAGTTAAGTGACTCACAATGTTTGGAGTAGATGCTGATGTGTCAATGCCATTGTGTATCCTGTCTGGAGTTGCAGTTTTTGGTTTTTCTTGTTTTTGCTTTTTGCTTGAAATCTTTGACTATTAAGAGAACAATTAATTGAAACAAAGGTTTATAAAAATGGAGATTCTATTGTTATTTGTTGATGTTATAAAACTTTGATTCGATACATATTTAGAAAAGTAGATTATATGATTAATTAATTACCTGGGGTTTATCTGATGTGTCCTTTTTTGATGATCTTTTTTGAGAAGACTCTTTTACTCCTACATAAAAAATAATCAAATCTCTTTTATTTCAACTAGATTATGCTATATAAACCATATTACTTTAAGAATAAACCTTCCATTCTAGAAATTGAAGATGTATATTGAGCTTATTGACCTTTTAAGTCATTAAAAATATGTCCAAACAAAACAAGGACAAATGTTGGTGCCTATATATTAAATCCTTAATGACAAACCAACCTTTGGATGTAGACCTTTGTCGCTTCTTTGAACTTCCATTTAAGCTAGGAAGATCCTACAGGAATTCCAATTACAATGATGAGGATGAGGGCATTCACGTCTTTTGCACAGAATATACATCAATAGCATAAAAAGAATACCTTCTCCAGAGATTTCTTCATAATATCATCATGATTGAAATTGTTTTCTTCTAGGATCTACAAGTTTAAGGAAACTTTATGAGTCTACCACAAACAACTGAACTAGAAATCAAGAGTTGACCGGATGTTGACTTACCTTTTTAAACTCAGCACGAGATTTATGAACATCTACATACTTGCTGTAGATGCAAAGAAACAAGTCACGATAAAATCAAAAAGTGAAAAAAAAAAAAAAGGAAAGGGTAAAAAGAAATTAAGCAAAACAACTTACAATATATAGCTTCCATATAACCGAACAAGAACATCACTGCTTGATCCTTTATTGCTTGGTTTGTTTCCTGAACTTACTGAATTCTCATCAACAACCTGCAAGGAAATTAGTAAATGAAGCTTAATTTAACTCAACAAAGCATTTATGTTAACTTGTTAACACAATTTATATGAATTTGAATTTGAAAAGTGATATTTTCACAAACCTGTGCAGGCCACCATGAATCTTCATGGAGCTTAACCCATATTATATCCCCAAAGATAACCAGACTTCCATTGATATCGCCTGTTACACCTCCCATAACTTATCTAAAGTTTGAATGATTCCAATTCAAAAAATAAAACATGTTAGAATGAGTAAATGTACAAGAATTTGACTTACATACCAAAATAAATTGATATAATAGTAGGTTTTATCATACGATTCCATTCATTAATTAAATAACACATATCCTAAAAGCCTAAAATTTCATCATATTATCATAAGAACATAGATTTGTAGAGAATTTACCCTAAACCTTCCTTTCAGCCATGAGAAAGAAAGGTGTAACAAACAGCTTCATAAACAAGACCACGTTTGCAGATAATAAATTAACAATCACTAGAACGCTTACCTTTTATGGTTTATACTACTCACAAGCATATTGTTTTAAAAGATTCATGAAAGTGGATATAGAAATTGGGACTGCATAATCTCATGACAAAACAGTGATCTATGAGCTGCAGAATCTCATTTTCGGTTCAAGTAAACATTTTATGGAGCGATTTCGCCGAACACACTACCATTGGTAATGAGATTGTCGGATTCAAGCTTATTCCTCCCGTAAGTAGCAAAAACACACAAAAATCACACACTAAATAAGTACTAATAGTTGTAGAAGTGGGACAATGATTCGAGTTCTATAAATCAAACATTTGCGTAAGCACATTCCTAAAACAAACAAAATGTGCCCTAATTTTTGTAAACTGGCAGCGAAAGAGATAATCAAAGAAGGAGGTGCTTAAAAGACATAAAAGAGCAAAAGGTTTTGAGTTTTACTTACAGACGACGAGAGGAGAGGAGTGGAGAGCAAGAGCCTACTCAACGGGAAAGTTAGAGAGAGTGCCGCTGCTGTCCAATTTTGTGAAAGTGAAAAAGTAATTGTTTATTGTTCACGATTTCAATTTTGGCGAAATGTCATATTATCGAGAAAAATGATAAATTTAGCCCAAAAACTTTTAATATTTTAAAATAGTCATTAATTTTGTAATGTTATTAACATAAAAAATAACCTCATTTCTAAATTAGCTCTAAATTGTTTTTTTATATATATAAAAACCAATATTTTAAAATGCTCATTAATTGGTTAGTGGATTGATTATATTGTCTATCAGTCTATGTGACAACTTCTGATTATATATAACAGTCTACGTGGATTGATTTACTGACATTACATATTGAATAGGGTTGCCACGTTAGCAAATGAAGTCGGAATTTAACAAAAATAAAGAAGTCGGATGTTGTGACACTTGTTTTTCATGACATGTATTAATGTGTAAGAATAGGCAGGGATTAATGGAAAAAAATGATAGTTTACTCTGAGACGATTTTGTGGATATAAAGGTCGTCAAAATTGAAGTTCGTATCAGAAAGTTATGGCCGTTTGAAGTTGAGGTAAAAGTTTTATTCAAAAATATCTAAGTATAGTGACAAATTCAACGTAATTAGCAACCAAAACATTTTAGATTTAAATAAACTAAAATCATTTTATTCATCAAGGATCATTTTGCAAAGCTTATGAAAGATTAAAAAAAACAACCATAGAAAGAAAAGAATACATTATTTGAAAATCTTGGTTCCTCGTGGGAGGTTGGAAGTTGATGAAGAATGTAGACTATAACTCCACCTTAGTTAGAAACACTAACTATTCTTCAACTTGATAAAATGCTAGTCTTCTTCTTGTAATAATAAAAACACTCTTAAGTTTTAAGTTAAAACCCAAGTATTAACTTAAAGAGAGTTGCAAATATCAAACTTTTTCTCTACAAAAGACTTAACCCTTTAAGTGAAAGAGAAGAGAGCATTCGGAATTCACTGGCCTAGTAATGAACCAAATGCAAGCCCTTTATTACCTTTAAGTGAAGTCCCTACCCAATGTGTCTTGATGCTTTAAGAGACCATGTCTCTAACAACAAAAGGCTACATATGAAAGAGCATTGTCTTAAGATTTAAGAAAGTATGGTCTTTTATATATATATATATATATATATATATATATATATATATATATATATATATCCACGGCTTTTATATATAAAACAAAGACAAACTTTATAAAATTCTCTAACTAGTTTATAACATATAAAGTCATGCTCTTTCATGTATTACTTTTCCTTTGTCCATGTTTTAATCATTAGGAGAATATATATATATATATATATATATATATATATATATATATATATATATATATATATATATATATATCCACGGCTTTTATATATAAAACAAAGACAAACTTTATAAAATTCTCTAACTAGTTTATAACATATAAAGTCATGCTCTTTCATGTATTACTTTTCCTTTGTCCATGTTTTAATCATTAGAAGAACACGTGCTTCTAAAGTATGTTCTTATTAAAATAAGCATTAAGGAAATTAACTAGTTCTTATAACTAGTCTTTACAATTTGTCTATCAAATTAGAAGAGAAAAGGCTTTTAGTTTCTCTTTTATATATATATATATATATATATATATATATATATATATATATATATATATATATATATATATATAATAGAACCCCTATATATGAATTAGTGTTATTCTATCAACATCCAATTCACAAAATCTCAAAGCCTCAATTGATGTATAAGGTAAGTTTATCAGTTATCCATTTGTTACAGACATCATGTTGAACATGAGACTTGGATAATATTCAATCTCATTTGATGTTCAACTTTGGATAACGCATGTTAGATGTCTGGCTCTCAGCACATAAGAGGAACAAATCACATCTTGACTACATAAACCTTTCGCATAGTTCATACCGTACCTAAAAATGACTTTTATAACCGTGATGTGTTTATTATGCACTAGTAGTTTTAAATTTTTTAGTCCTGTCAAATCTAAACCTGCTAAACACAAATAGGTAGTGTAACTAGTTTTGTAATAGTATAGTAGAGGTAAGAAAGGGTGTCAAACTCTCTGGTTTTATAAGTTCTGAAACTTAATATTATCAAATTCAAACAACTAAGCAAACAGAGAGCAAAGAACGTGATTTTAAAGCAATATATTTGAAGTACTTCCACTACATTTCGAATCCCCCTAGTTTTCTATGTTTGATTCGTTAGTATGCAATAGATTAATGAGTTGGTACCGAATTTTATGACTAGTTATCTTGGTCGGATTTCCTAGTTCTAATGATTAATGAATATCTAATTCCAATGATCATGCAAATTAGTGAACACGAAACCATATAAATAAATTCAATTATGAACGATATTATCTAGTGATTCCTTAGCAATGGTCATGACAATCAATCTAACCATATAATGGGTAACTAATACTCTCTAACACAATCAAAGTCAACAATTAATATTACCTAACCCTATGATATGATCAATCTCTAGTCCTGACAATTTAATGATCATAAACTAATTAAGATTCAAGTTAATGTAATTAGATTGGTCCTCTCAACTACACATAACTCAGCAATAGGAAAAAAATCATAACTTTAACATGAAAGGTGAAGCAATCAATCGAATCAAAAGTTAAAATCTTACTCACATAATCCAACTAACGCTATCAAAGCATATTAATTAGGTTTCATCTACATCTAATGAAAGCAATAAGGTTTTTAGCCTTGAACCATGACTAGAAAACATAGTCTAACGAATTCAGAATTGAAATACATGATATAAAACAAACCGAAATGAGAAAATTGATGAATCACCTTCGTGATCTTCAAATACACACTTCAAAGGTGTTTTCAGCCTTCAAAAACGCATGGAGTCGACTAATATCGTGTTCCCCAAGTTGGTGGAAGTTGGCCCTCGAATTAAGGCTACAAAACCCATAATATATAGATTTTTTGCCTCCACGGCGTGGCAATGGGTTTCCTTGCGGCACACGAGCGCATAGACCGACACGGGGATTTTTGGATCTGACATGCCGTGGTAATGCCTTTTCCACGGCGTGGGAACTAGGAATCATAATTTTTCTCAAACACGAAAGTCGTCCAGAATTTTGTCTAGTTTCCAGAACATCTTGAATCTTGTTAATCAGAGTTACGAGTCATGCGATATGACCAAAACATTAAAGAGAGTTCAATCTGTCCAGCAACATCCTTTTTGCGTCTTGTAACACCTGTTTTCCAGAAATATTAGATAAAGTCAGTTTGGTATCAGAGATAAGGTTTTTGAAGGAAAAAACCCTATGCCACGACGTGGTGCATGGATGCCCACAACGTTGTTCATGGATGCCCACGACGTGGCATGAGTTTTATGAACACGTGTTTATTATGGCTCCTACGACATGGCAAGAATAGAGCCACATTATAGCAATCGCTGCACCACAAAACCTGAGATTTTTAGGGTTTCCCTCATATATAAAACCATAACTCATGGATTAGGTTATTTCCTTCAGTCTACATCTCTCCATTTCGAAACCCTAATCTCTCATCCAAGGTAATGAGCTTGGTGGCTTGATTTTGAAGTAGTTCCTCTTGTCTTGGTGAAGCTTGTGAAGAAAGGAACTTTTTTTTGGTGCATGGAAGCATAGATCAAGGCTAGATCCATCATCTCCTTCAAGTTTTTGGACCTGTGGAGGTAAAAAGCTCGCACCTTGACCTTGTTCTTTTGAGATTCATGTGCTTGACCTCGATGTTTCGTTTTTGGTCCCATTTTTGGATGCTCTTGGAGTTTGAGGAAACCCCAGAGCTTGATATGGTCTCCTTATGGTCATGGATTTCTATTAAGTGAGAACAAGGTCTTAGTTTGAGAGCTCTGTGTTCCTTGTTCAAGTTTTGGTCACATTAAGAGCTTAAAGGACTTAGGGTTGTAGATCTTGCCTTGGTGTAAGTTCCTAATGGATAAAGTTCGAAACTTTATCCATTAAGTCATAGAAAGGAATTAAATCTAAAGTTTTGGGCGTAGATCTGTAAGAATTAAAATCTTAATGAGAGAAATGTCATTTTGCCAATAGCGACGACACGGACAGTGGATAGCCATCGCATGATGAAGTTTAGATTCACGATTGTTTTATCATGGCATTGCCACGACGTGGCCAAGGAAGGCCTACGACGTGACAATGTCATGCATGTTGACTTTTTGACCTTGTATTCCCACAACGTGGCCAAGGAGGGCCCACGTCTTGGCATTGAATGTGACTTGGTTGACCGTTGACTGTATGGACCTTTGACTGTTGACTTTTGACCAGTTTGACCTAGGGTTAATCTTAGAGGATTTGGGTTGTTGATTGAGGAGTTACTTGTCTTGGTGATAGTCGGTTTGCGGGATTGAGCTATACAAAGTGTAAGGGTATTTTTGTTCATTTTCGTTTTTTTGGTTCTTCAGTTTGGGTGAGTTTCTCACGTCCTTTGCATGTTAGAATAGAGGTGATGTTAGAGCACAAGTGTGTTAGTGGTTGAAATAACTCCTTTGTATATATGTACAGTATGGAACACTGAGTCTCATTATATGCTAGACTGATAGGGTCTTTCCTGTAGATCATATGGTAATGATAGGAGTTATGTTTGGATAAGGTAATTAGGGTAGGCCAGTTAGCAGGATTATGTATGACAGATCAACGAAGGACTTAATTGAGAAGTGTTAAAGGTTAGGGTAACTAGGGAAGGCTAGTTGCCAAGGAAATGTACTATGATATATTTTGATATGAATGTATGCTACATGGTTATGTATTAATGATAGCTTGGGTTTTATGTAGTCTAAGTTGGATAGCCTGAGAACTTTTGGTCTAATGCATGATTGTGATGTTCTTGTCTGATTGTTTTCTCTCGGTTGGATCGTCGGTTTGACTGTTTATATGATCCCTGATTAGATATGACTTTATTCATTGCATGGAGAGACCATGGGAGTAGCCCATGGCACTTGTTTGTAAGACTGTGGGGGTAGCCTACTTCATCCCTCAACATGTCACGA